ACGCGGATTTACATGGACACATATAAGATGAAAAATGGGATAGACAGGCTTAGAATCATTTTCTGAATTGATTTTATTCCCCCCTGCGTGTAACATATGGCCGCATAAACTCAATATGCCCTGACGGTAATTATACGATTTGTATGTATTGATGTGATCGTTTCCGCTCCTGAAATTTCTACGAGCTCGCGTTAATAGATTTTTTCGGAAAAATTGAAGGAAAACCGACGCATAAGCATTGGCAACACAAAATGGGGCTTGATATTTGGACTTAATATGAGCTAATAGTGAAAAATTAAGCAAAATTAAAATGAAACAAAATCGAGCCATTTCTAAAGAGGATGGCAACAGGCGTCGAAAAGTTGTACGCGGGCGATAACACTTTGACATTAACTAAGTAAATGCTCTGACAATTGATTCCACTCTTTCATGATAAATCGTTCAGAATTGATAAATAGAGAAGTCCTCACCTTCTGTCGGGACGACGTCATATGACATATGTCTCGACCTGAACCTCGCCCCATTCAATTACCAATTGTTTCGCTTTCTGCGGATTTCTCTCAAAGGCGTAAGCCTGATTTCAAACAAGGCCTTTGAAAATCATTCGCTTTAGTTTTTCGCCCAGAAGTCCTGGAAGGTCTGCCGTTAAGAGCGAGTGACGCCACGAAATTTTCCCATTGCCTATGCGTACAACTATTCATACATTCATGCAGGCATTCTTAGCTTCTCCTTAGTGTATTTTTCTAAAGCGACTCAAAAAGAATGAATGAATAAAGTGATGCGTTTCTTTACGTTGCGTATACGATATCTAGTTGCACACTCATATTTTCTATTTACTAAACTCGTTCATAAGACAGTAAGTCCCAGTAAATAATAGTGAAAGAGAAAATACGTAGCCGCGTTTTGTTTTTGTAATTGTAAGAGGGTTTTAATACTTGAATGCTGTGCGTGCGTTTTAATTGGTAAAATATGAAGAACATACACAACACAGTAGTGACTGCTATAGAAATTTCTAAACATTACATTTTTTCCTTTTTAATTCACTTGCAGCTGTTTTAATCAAAATGAGAACACTCTTAAAGATAGGGAAAGAGAGAGAGAGAGATAACCTTGAAACTTTTGTACATACGCGTCTATGTATTTGAAACATTTGCATCACACATATTTCTTCGGTACGGATAATGTAATAGCATTCCATTTATTTATGGCGTAAAGTTTTCTTCTTTTTAATAATGACAATTTTTTCCGTCGTCCGCACGATTTCGTTGTCATGTCCTAAATTCCTACAGTTTCCTTCCCGTCAAGATTGACTTAAGAAAAACAAAATACAAAAAATGCAAAAATCCATCAAGATGCAGACTCCTCTCCGAAATATTATAGTGTTCTTATCGTGTTCACTTAAGGTACGATTCTTGATATAAATGTCTTAGGAGTTTTCGAACAAACGATTTTGAAAGCGTACCGGCCGCGTAAGAGCAATGTTTGTGAAGACCATTTGCGGTAATTGATGAGTTGATTTTTGGCGATTGTAACTGAGAATTTGTCATTAGAGTCTCTAGTTTCATATATAATAGGAATGACTACGAATATTACACTTCTCTTGCAGCTGTAGCCAACTCCACAAAACGAAATGTCAAAATTGTAATGTATTTTGTTTGCTGCATTTCTCTTTCAGATGGCTCTAGGAAGTATTTATAAGAACTTTAGTTTATAAGATATATCTCATTTAAGTTACGGAAGGGTAGAGTTTTGTGCTGAGTGTATTCCCTGGTATTTTAGGGATCTTGGAAAACTCACGCTTCAGTTTTTTTGTAATATCTTTTTTAGGTTATAAGCTACACTGTGTCCGTGATATATGGATACGCAGCAATGGGCACAACGACAAACAGAATTAGAAGGTCTGTCACATATCTGTTTATGTATTCAAACTATTACAGGTCGCAATTCGGTTGAGATATTGTACGAAATTGGGTTGTGGAAGTATTACAAGACACTTAACGATCGGTGTGATGTCATATTAAGTTTACGCACAATCGCGTACATTTCGTGTGCAGAAAGAAACTACAACATTAGCCGGTATATCACTCAGCTAGATAGCTGCAAATGTAATCGTCTTGCTTCATAAGCTCCAATTCCAACTAGCAGCAAGATATAGATTGTGAGTTCTGAACGTATTCAAGCAATCATCGAAGCATTTCGGATTCAGACAATGATAACGCATTAAAATATGTAGCAATACGAACAGTAAAAGATCGTTCGGCTGATGAAATAGAAAAACGTGGCATTAATATGGAAGGGTTTCTATTCGATCTAGAGATCTGCGATCGTTCTATTAAAAAGCTTGAGAATAACAGACTTCACATCCAGCTCTAATGACGCTGACGGAAAGCGGTAATGAGATTAATTTGTGATGCAAAAAACCAGGGGCAACAGCTTGACGATATTATGCAGAAGTAAGATTCTCACTTATGAGAAAATAATCGATAAATGAGGTGGATTTTTGCTGAATATTAAAATGAATCGGTAAAAAACTTTGACTGCAGCCGAGACCGCTTCTGGAGCACATGATTCGTACGTTAAAGGCTTTACATGGGTAAATAAATCGCAATTAAAAATTATTACAATATTGGGATACATGGCAAGCAGGTCACTATGCATTCTTTCAAAAGTGGATATGTCTTCTCTGAGGAAATATACAACAGCAAACTGCAATTTATTATTATGGAGACCAAAGAGGTTCAGGGATCACCTCGTCCATGACTCGAAAAACTGCCCTAAAGTTTAATTTAGGTGAGATGTAAAGGGCAACTCGAAGAAGATCGTCGTTCAAGGTGGATGAAGTCGCGGAATTGGTGACAACGTCCGGATTGATGTCAAGGTAAAGTAATAATGCTCTGAGTTTAGAGGGACTAAAGGAGCATCTCAAGCTGCTCCAACTTGGCCGGAGGAATCATCGCTTTTCTCCACGACTAATGCAACTAAAGTATGCGATTGAAGTAAAACATCCAGAATTTATCAATAGGGGAACCGTTCTCCTCTATTACCCCAATGTTCGATCAACTACATCCTTAATGACTCAGCAAAGGTTGAGACAGCTTCGGTGGGAAATTTTAATGCAGCCACAACCGCTAGGTGTGGCAAAATAATGAAGTTAATTTAAAAGGCCCCCCTTTCCTTTTGCAAAGGTTTCAAATTTGGTTGCTCGGTAACAAAAAAGGTTAAAACGGCTAATAGGACATGTATGGTTTCTGTATGGTTTCAAAATATATCCCTATACCGTATGATCTTTGTTTTACATATGGAGAAAGAAATACAAGTAATGCATATAATCCCATCATCTTGTCGTCACGATTATTAAAAAAATACTATCTCAGCATAATTCATGCATAATAAAGGAAATTAAGATAAAATGAATGTTTATCTAGGAATGAAAAATAATTCAAGTTTTATTAGTGTTTACCGAGTTTCTTAGCACAACTATCACTCTATCTTTCGGTACTTAAACTTTTCTATATAAATTTGTTTTTCGGTGCTCGTATTTGTCACAGTCAGAACAGCTGAGTCCTTTTTTTATTCGGTTTGCGTTACTCTATGATATAAGAAAGCGAAACTACATAAAACAAATTACATGCATTAGTTGAGGCTTGTTTTAATTGCTTTCTACATATTTGTAATATATTTACATAGAAAAATGTATAACATGCCTTGTAATGTAGAAACTTACACCCTCGTACACAAATCCCTATATAGACATACAAACGCGCACTTAAATTTCAACATACACACCTTTAACAATATATGAGTAACTAACTTGAATTAGCTACTGATTGTTTTCCATTTGTTTTTATGAACAGTGACCGTGAATTATGTGAAAGAAAGCACAATTTTTCCTTCTTGTACTTGTTTATCTTTTTTTCATTTTTATGTATTTTGTTTGTTTGTTTGTTTTTCTTTTCTTTTTTTTTTTTGTATTTCACACGTTACATTTGCTCGAAAGTCCCAAGGGAGCTAAGTATGCTAGGTATCCTCCCTTTGCCAGTCTAATAAAACGGAAGACGTTTGAAGGGACGAGCCGAAGTTAGGATGTCATAGTGATTTATTTTGCAAATTTGTGTGAGATGTCAGCGGTCATTGCAAAATTTGAGAACTGAGTCGCTAGAGTGTGTGGAAGAAATCTTAAGCATAATTTTATTGGCATTTTATCAATGACCTGATGATAAGTTAGTTAAGGAAACAACAATTCCAAGCGACAGTTGAAGAAAGGTAAACAAAATATTAACCAATTTAACATCCAACAGTAGTCAACTTTTATAAACTTTTTGATCGTTCGTACATCTTTTTAGCCAATGCAAGCATCTGATCTGGATCATCGAGTTTTGTCACTGGATGAAAAAGTAAAACTAATTTTGACTTTTTAATGTTGAGGGTGTTTCACTTCATCCTATATAAATTCTATTCTAAATTCTATATATATATATATGTACGTATATATATCATTTCGTAGGTATAGAAAAGTTTAAGCTTTCTCTGTAAAGGCGCATACATGTGCTTCGAAATTTGTTTAAAAATATTGTTTCTACTGAATTAATAATGAGCCGTATAGGCGGCATAAGTAAGAAAAACATGAGACACATTTTTGTTATCATATTTCGGATGCTTCTCATTTTGCAGCCTTTTTGACTCAAAAAAAAAAAAGAGAAAGAAAAAAAAACAACCATAATTCAACTTTGGCAGATATGACTGCGCACGATCTACGAGGTTGTCTTCCTCTTTCCGACGTTAAAATTGGGAGCGAAAGCTTTTCTTTTCCTTTTGGCTGACTGAGCTCAAAGTAGTTTTCAGCAAATTGAAATTTTAAGCTTTATAACGCAAACGGACGTTGCGGTGTGTGCTTCGTCGCTTATAGCACACACACACACCAATTTCATTAAACGGAGTGAACATTTTGCAGTGTGTGTCAAAATTGTCCTTTGTAATATTAAAATATTAAACAAGAAGAAACAAAAAAGAAATAAAAAAAAAAAAAAGAAAAGAAATAGAAATAGAAACAAAAAAAAAGGGAATAAACCTTATACTTACTTGTGCTAAATTTCAAAGCACAAAAGAATTTAAAGGGAAATGATTTTGCAAAAATCATAAGAATACCATGGCAAAAAAGTAAGATTTTGAAAAAAGGCGAAAGGAGACAACCCACTTTTCGGTTTATATAAGAAGTCGAAAAATATATTTTTGTGAAAAGTTTTTGCATACTATCTGTGATAGTGAGTATGAGAGTGTAAGATATAAATGAAAAGAAAATTTGCATGAATGCTCCAATTTTTATATAATCATTAATCGGAACGAAACGAAAGAACATAACATACAGTTGCAAGTTGAGAAATAGCGTTTAGCTTAAACTCATTCAGTTCGTATTTATTGTTCATATTGTTTTTATTGTAGTTCTAATTGTTGTTGTTTTTGTTTTTTTTTTTTTAAAGAAAAAAAATTGTATATCCGACTTTTTTCGGGAGGTGTGGACCCTGATTTTGCATAAAAGCCATGTCCGAGCATGCGTGCGTTTGCAAAAAGCTCGGAATTTTTTGTTTAAAAAAAAAAATCGAATATTTTCAATGTTAATTGAATATGACAATCAACCGATTTGGGCCATTTCTGTCTAGATTGATTTTAATTAATGCCTCCCCCCTCCGAAATCTATTAATGGAAAAGTTGCCCGTCAAGGTTTTTGTTTAATTTTTTTTTTTAAGGAATTTTAAAAAGAAACTTAACTAAATTTAAATTTACATTTAACACTTTGTAATGACGGACGGACATGATTTAATCAGTGGAATATTTTACACTAGTTACAGATTGATGTATTGATGTATATTGTATCACTTTTGGATGATGGAGAGCGGCAGAATTTTCTACTCCCTCCACCGATAGCTATGAAAATTCCTACATTTAGCTAGTACGGACAGACTAATGGATACAAGTGCTTAGCTTTATTGTTTTTGCTTTAATAGTTGTTTTTGTATTGCAAAATAGCCTCACCAGCATTACTGCATTGGGATGGTGATGGCAGTCATATCAAAAAGAAAAAAGCAAAAAAAAACAATAAAGAAAGAGCAAAGGAAAAAATGAAATAAGAAACGAGAACTGCAAAAACAAATGCACGGAATAGTGCTCAGCTAGGATATGGTAGGATATGGTTATGTGTAAGTGTGTCAGTGAGTGATTGTGTAAATAACATATTTTTCTGTACGCATTTCTCCTTTATTTTCTTACTCTCTTGGAAACACGCGAACAGTTGCCTTTTAAGCTCTTTAAGAAACGAAAGCAGCAGCAGCCTTCTCAAAAGGATTTTACAGAAACCATAATATTTTCCGTGCTATATGGCGTCGAGAGCGTTTGCCTTTCTAAGGGAATTTTAAATGCGTCCGTCCTTCTTCATGTGGTTTGATATCCCTAGCGTGTCTTGCATTTACTTGCGTGTCTATCGCGCACTATGATAAGAGTACGAGCTTTATCGAAATTAATTATAATAACGACACCGAAAATATAAAAAAGCGAAAATAGTACACATCTGTTAGTGTACTCTTGAAAAGACTACACGAATTCACCTACTCGTTCTGATGTTATTTCAAACAAATTCGCATTCGTAATGCAAAACATTTTATATAATTATAGTCAGTTAGGAAAGAAACTAACTAAGAGCTAACGTAAACGTTTGTATAAAATTTAGTTAATACCGTGCTAGGAGACGAGACAGCGAATTGCGAAAAAATAAAATAATTAAAAAGCACTTGAGCAAAAAATGAACAAAAGATCCGAGGTAATTCTCTTATCAGGCAAATGGAGGCAGCCCCGAATAGCCTGTGCTGGAGTCCACTCGACTTAAGTAGCGAAGGAAGCCTTGAAGTGAACACAATTAGGAGCGCATCCATGACTCTAAATTCGAACAAATAACTGCAGAACCGGAAGTGTTTATAACGACGACTTAAGTTATTTAAGATGATGATGCGATGATGAACTACTCGAACGTTATTCTAAGATATCCACTCAGATGCAATCGAAACGGTACCACCCAACGTATCATATGAGGCGGGAGCCAGTCAGTGCATAAATCGGGGATCTACTCTGTTGGAAGATAGTGTACTACTAGTCATAAACTGTTATATTACAAACACTATTCAGAATCACTCGTCGAAAGCAGTGCACACTACGACCGCTCTTTCCACACGGACTAGATAGAGGCTAATAGACGGGATATTATACTTATCAATTGGCAAAAGAGAAAGATGTGACTGATAGATAGAGCAATCCCTAACAACCACAATATCCGAAACGAAGACAAAGAAAAAAACTGCAATACAGGGTCACTTTGTTCGCGTTCAATCGAAATCAGTGAAAGGTGAATTTTGTGAGTATCGCACCAATAATTATATCGAACACCGGGCTGATAGCAAATAATATTCACAGTATCTTGAACGATCTGGAACACCCCTAGGACTCTACGTCGGGGTATGCACAAAGCGCTACTCCTTGCGACCGTATGAAGAGTGGTAGAGGGAACGGAGAATGCGCTTCCGTGCACCATAATAATAATAGTAATAATGATGCAATAACAGTAACAGTAATTAAATGTGGTTACTTAGTGCGAAATGGCCAGTTGACGGGAGGAGGGTAGGACAACTGAACGTAGGATTCCACCCGAGATGCAGATGATAAAGGAAGGAAATAACGAAAAGTCCAATGGAACCTGGAAACGATAGCGCTCTAGAATCTAACACGGATGCTGAGGAAACATATGAGATGGACAACAACGCAAATTGGTTAAAACAAATTGGGCCAATAAGGAAGTGGACTTGCTGAGAGAACTCCTAATTTAACCACGATAATGAGGAACGAATGCCGCAACAATATCTTTCCATTTTTATAAAGAAATCTTGTCCCAATATTACTTTGTTAAGGAACATCTTACTGGTATAAGCAACTTTGTAGAATGCAGTAATTGTTTGGCAGGCAGATTCACTTTGGGTTTAGCAGAGGAATTGATTTTCGTTCATTTTCCGAAACGTGGAAGATTTGGATTCAAACAAAAACTCAAGCATTTCTTTCTTAAAATTCTACCTCCACTTTTGTCTAATCGTTTTCCACCTGGATTTAAGAATTTTGTTCACTGATAAATAGGCTATAGGTAAAGTATGTGAATATACAAGGCCAAACTTAAGCAATACTTTTGAATATGATTTAATATTTCCATTGAGAGTAGTTAACCTGCCGCTCGTATAATTTGCAACGAGACGGGTAAAGGAAGAGACAGGGGTAAGAAGAATTAGTAAAAAGTCAAATAAGAAATGACTCAAAATCTTTGCGATCGTTTCTTATTATGCATTATATAAAGGTACATATAATTTATTTTATATAAAAGATGGGGAGGGCATTTGTTTCTTACGACTTTAATCGAAATAAAATGGAAAAAAACCGTTAATGGTCGTTTTTTTTTTAATTGCAAATCGCATTATGTAACCTTTGTGAAGTAGAATTTCAAGAACATATAAATGAGTGAATGAAAAATAAGGAATCCATGTTCGACAAGCGCCGCTTCGAATCAATACATAATAAGTGTAAAGCTTTCTGTTGGTTGTAGGAGTACCAATTGGCCGATTCTCATTTCTTTGCATATTTACAGTAGAGATTAGGCTAGAGATTCTTGCCACTGAATTACGTTCATTCTCAAACCTCATCTTTAATCGTCAACTGAAAATGCAAGAGAAACAAAACCTCGTTTTGATGGTGAACTTTATCCTTGATTATCTTAAGTGAGCTGCCAATCGAAGTCATCAATACTAATATTCGTTTTTTTCGGCATTCTCATCCGATCGTTCTGGAGTTGCGAGTATACTGGACGATTACTCGTTCGTTAGTTGCTCGTCCTGCTTGCCTTTGAGCTAATCTACTTGTAATGGCTTCCCCGTTTTAACCGCTTTTACAGCTTAGAAATGAAAGTATCAGCCTGTTCTCTTCCGATTGACTTGCTTCTTGCTTTCACTCAAGGAACAAGGAAAGCCCTAAGTGAACTTGGCATTTGTACTCAGATAGCTAGACTTACGTGTGAGATAGGTCAATAGATTACCATATTTCGGAAAGCCAGATTGCCGATCGCTAATTATATCCTTGAATTCTATATATCCCATCAGAATTTAGTTCGATTAGTATCTACTCTTAGTTTACTTTCGACAAACTGAATAATAACCAAAACAATTACTGCAGAAATTAAAGAAATGATGTCGTTGATGTCGAGGCCAGCTTTGTGTTTTTCTTCCAATTTGATATGAAAGACCTTCTACCACCATAAAGATAAACAAAATAACGATTAAATGATTGCTTTTTGCTTTGAATTTCACACAAAGCATTAGTTTATATAAACATCCCGAGTTCCACAAATACCGTATATAAACCTCCGGAGTTCCATAAATACCGTATATATTGAAGCGCCTAAAATGCTTATTACGGTTTTCTAATTTTGTTGTCAAACTAACGATATGGCGGAGAAACCGCATTCGCAGAACCACAAGCGTAATATAATAGACATTTAATGAAAATTAAAATATGCTAATTTTCACTTCATGAAAACATTAATTAAGCAATTGTAATGAAACATTTTTTTGAAAAGTATAATCGAGTGTACGTAGGTAGCGTAGTGAGCAAAAGCGTGTGAAAGTCAACTGATATCTTTTATTCACTCATTTTTTTCTATGCATGCAAGTAATTTACAATTAGCTGAATAATAATCGAAATAAGTTCGCAAATGTTCAAGGGGTGGGGTGGAGGGGGGTGAAGGTATTGTTTCACTTAGCAGCAGTAGAAACAATCATATAGCAAATGTTTTGTAGCACAATGAAATAGTTTTTGCTTTTTTTTTTCCTTTTCTGTATAACACGAGCACACATTCACAAGTGACGGAGGTAGCAAAAGAGTGACTAAAACAGGAATGTTGAGAAAATTAGTGCAAAACCCTAAATTTAAAACCTCCTTTTTGTCGCTATATTTGTATTTGATTCTGTGCTACTTTCGGTAAAGAAGGCAAGGTAATGGAAGAAGAACAGCGAAAGGACAAGAATAATAAAATATCGCATACGTATTTAGAAAGACGATAAAAATCACACTTGATAGGAATAACATAGAAAAATATAAAACATTAATCTGTAATGGTGGTAGTTAAAAAACAGTTATCGTTTAAGAGGATAAAAATACGAAAAAGAACGGAACAGAAACTTCCACTAGAAAGAGAGTGAAACTAAGAGATTAAACAAAAAAAAAAAAAGAAAAGCAGAACGGGAGAGAGAGATTAATAATTTCTAATATAACTGAGCAAAGAGAAAAATTTAGTTAAGTAAACAATTTAAAAATGATTATTGAAACGTCCGCAATTCCTACATTTCAAAACAACGCAATTAACGTAAACTTGGAAATATGTCCAAAGTCCATAATATATTTTATAAAATTTTTTCAATAATTTTATACGATTTAATTATACCTAAAATTCCCGTTAAATGTCTGTTATCAATATTAAGTTATCTTGAGCTTCAGTGAGCTCCAATGTAAGGGTATTTCCGTGTAAGGCGGTGCGGTGCCGATATATTAAGCGAGTTTTCTGATAAAAATTAAAAATTTTTTGTTCATTTAAAATTTCTGAAAATTTTTCTTTGGAAAAAGGGAAGGACTAGCAGGAGGCAGAAGTATATACGATAAGTCATTTTAGTCATAGCGACGAGGAAAAGGTCAGCTTGATAGCCAGACCAAGGTATATATTATGTAATGTGAATGATGAACTAATACTGTTCTTTCTCTGTTCAAATGTAGGCCCGTGCGAAAGACCGTATCGAAATTGATTTTGTGTTAATCCTGAATTGGCTAACAATGTTATTAATATTAACTCAAGGAAAGAAAATCCATGACGTTTTCTGAATAACTGGAGTCGAAGGGTCGTAAGATTGATAATACTACCTTATCAAACTACATTGTAGTGGGTGTGAAAGGCGAGTGCCCATAAGTAATTCAAATAAAAAGCATAGTAAGATTTCTTAAGTCAGTGGAAAGTTTGAAAATGAGCCCAAATCCAAAAATCGGCTTATTATAGCTGATGTAGATTTGTCGTCAGTAATGCACAATAGGTTTACCAGGAATACATGGGAAATTTCGATTTCACAAAATTGATATAAAATATGCGGCAAATTGCTGAAAAATCACAGCGAATCTTTTTTTTTTTACTTATCAATGATCAAGTAGATGTGCACTTGCTGGATCAATGAAATCGATTGACTTATAAATTAAGAAAATAATACAAATCTATCTGCGCCTAAAATACATACAAAGTTCTTGCTTTCTTCAAGATGGCAAACGGTTTAAATAGATAGAAATAAAATGGAGAACAGTGAAAGTTCATGTCTTTGTATAGGGCTTCAAATTTCGATTTCAATTCTTGTGAATTTCAAGAAGAAATTAAACGTTGTGCGGAGATGAATACTTTACCGGAATGGACAGACATACAAAAACATAACATTTTTGTAATAACTAATTTGGCGATGAGGGCGTATGAGTGCTACTATAAATGAGAAGGCTGCCAACAAAATAAAAGCAAAAATTTTCTTATCTCATACGAAACGAATATGAAAATTCATAAAATTTTGTATAGCGATTAAAAGTTGTAAGTATGCGCCCTTTTCCTTATGCCTTTTCGCTAGAAAAAGTGTGGCTTAAATGTAAGTAAATGGAAAATAGAAGAGTTAGATAGGTGAGCTGAAGGCAAGTTTGACCGCGTATATTAGGGTACAGACTAAAGCCGAGATTATCAGTTCAAGGAATTCGTAAGAAAAATTTAAATTGCAAATCCTTTACTAAAAAGAAGAAGAAGCATTGCACCTTTGTAAAGCGTTTAAAATAATTATATATATATTATGGGCAAATTTAATCCACTATACTGATTATTATTTTTTTTTTTTTATATAAAAGATTAGTTTTTTGTTGTTTTTTTTAATTAAAGTTAAAACTTGATTCATTAATGAAATGCTAGTGTAACGTATATTTTTTTATATCTATTTTCAGATTTATTGGAGATGAAAAAAAAAAAATAAAACAATTAAAATACATTTAAATCTCAAGGCGCATCGACAAACAACGAAAGCTTATTGAATACAGTGAAAAAATTTCTCTTATTATTATGGTATCTCTGCTCTCTGATTATTTCCATGTCTTCGCTTCTCTAAAACTGTAGACATTCCAATATATATAAACTATAAGTAGAAGAGCGGACTAACGAATTCAAACGCTACATAACGTAAAAGTAACGCGAGAGTAATATGAGAGTAATTCAAAAATAATTTGGTCGCATCTGGGAGTAAGCGTCTGTATTTGTTTACAATTGAGAATAATTCAAAGAGTCAGTCTGCATTTGTTAACAGCTCTTGCATTGAAAAAACGACTATGAATTTGGCCATATATGAGAGTAATTCAAAAATAATTCTAAATGGAACGTGGTGTAATCAAAGAAAGTGGTTTTCAGACTTGCTCATTTAAATTACTCTCAGATGACTGTGAATCGCATTACAATGCGGTGGTTCGCTGAATAATGATATAAGTTAAATGCGGTTATTAGCACAAATTGCAAACTTGAAAAGTAGCAAATATATTTTCATGCCTAAAACCTGGCAATCGTTGTATAATTTATAGAAAATTTTTAGGAATTTAAAAAGATGGCATAAGAACGTCAAGGAAAAAGAAATGAAATGCAAAAAGAAAGAAAAGCAAAATGTGTTTAATGTTTTTAATAGTGTCAAGCGTCTATGAAGGAATAGAAGAAAAAAAAATTCAACTTTATATACGCGAGCTCGTGGATGTGTGAGTCGAAAATAAATGAGTGAGTAAATAATGAGTACATAAGTTAAATTGTATGTTAAGAAAGTTTGTGATAAACTGTGAATATACATATATACATGTACATTCATATATATATATATATATTTATATACATATATATATGTGTGTATATAATATTGATTCCTTTTACGAGAAGTGTTATATAGAGGAAATGCATGTTCTTAAGCGATGAAACAAAAAAAAAGAGAAGCAAAATATATTAATTGATTCTAAACTTAAAAGAAATAAATTAATGTTTTAAAATAAAGACACTTTTTTCATATTCGCTAATAATAAAAGCGATTGAAACGATATATATATATATATATATGTATATATATATATATATGTATATATATATATATGTATAAATATAAATAAATATAAATATATTTATACATATATATATATAAAAAAAGCAAATAGTTACAAGAAAATAATGCAGAAAGTTATTATGATTTATATAACTTTCTCTCTACTTCAAGCAAAGCTAAAATTATTTAAATAGAAGCACATTTAAAAAACTTGTAATAAAACAAATATTTAAAAAGTATTAAAAATATCAAAAAAAAAATGAACGGCCCGATCTAAGTAACTAACTTACAGTAATCAGAATAATAATAATAATAATAGTAATTATAATGATAATAAAATGAAAATAAAAAGAAAAAATGTGATGAAATAAAATTACACTTAATTGGAAAGAAACATAACGTATACAAAGGTATATATATAAATAAAAATAAAAAATACATAAAAAGTTGAAAAGCAAGAAAAAAAATAAAATGAAAATATTATTACAAAAGATAGAAACTAAAAAAAAACTTTATTATTAATGAATAAAAAAGTAGAGAGTTAAACAGGAAAACTTTCTAGCAACGACAACGATAACAAACGGTTTTAAAGCATATAGAAGTTAAAAGCTTTTCCATTTACATATACTTCGAGTCGTACCCGAATTAGTAGTTAAATGTTTTTCACAAAAATATAAAAAAGGAATACAGGAGAGAGTAGACATCAGCTGTTTTTTTCAAAAATTAATGTTTTTTAATTGGGTCCAATGTTGCAGCAGTCAGCGACATGCTTACAGCCACCATTAGCACAAATTGCATTCTTCAGCAACTCGAAAAAACATGAACAAACTCAAAACGCATCAGAGAAGAGGATAACATTCGATCCTGAAAGCAAGGCTTTGATAACTCTGAAAATAATAGCCGAAAATTTTTTAAATCATGTGGCCTTGTCTAGTCGTAATGTTTCGGCAGCATTAGCCTTAACAACTTTTCAAAATGGGCACCAAAGACCAACTAAAACAACAACAACAACAACAGCAACAAATGACAACAAATCTGGAACTAATGCCATCATATCTGGCATTTCAATTGCGTTAACAAAATTATTTTTTAATTTATTCAAAAACAAAATCTCTCTGCAAAACTCTTTTATGACTAAAGCGACAATGCTTAGCAACGTTTATGATAATGAAAACCCTCTGAACAACAAGCACAACAACAACAATAACAACAATAATAATAACGCAAGCAAGAACATGAACATGGACATTCAGTCTGGCCCAAGAAAGTCAACCTCCAGAAGAGCAAAATGCGAAAATTTAGATTTTAATAGCCGCCGCCGTAGAGGACGTCTAAGGTTTGGATTTATCACGCGATCAGCATTACATGCACAAAGCGTTCTTGGAGATGTGGCATCGTTTTTGTTGACACTGTTGTTTTCCTTTGTTGTCGACACCTATGTAAATATGAAAACCCTTGTGTTGTCTTCAGTGAAGTGCAAAAGTTATTTAAAAATTACTTCTAAAATGGCTATCCATAGCAATTGTAATCAGAATAACAACAAATCAAATTCTAAAAATTATTATTCATTATACGCTACGTCTGCCACTACCACCTACAAATTTTCCTTATCAATGTCTTACCCGTCGCTGTCGACGCTGCTGTACGCTTTGCTGCTGTTAACGACCATTCTCATACTTCCATGCACTAATCATATAGCTGCAGCTGCTAAACCGAAATCTGCTACTCAATTACAACAACAAAAACAGCATCATCATCAAGAATTGGAGCAAAAACCGCCAAATTTAGCGTACGCTGCTGGTGCCGATAATATTCAAATTGATAGCGGCGGTATGCTATTAACATCGCCCTCCTATCAAATCGTCTCTTCGCAAACATCGAATGAAGAGGAATCGGAATTTCTATATCCGTCATCGCAATTCGATGAGTTCGATGAGGAGAAACTGGCCGAAAACGATATGGAAGTGGATGAGGAACAAGCAAACGTATATAAAGATGAGAATCGTAAGTGAAATAATCGTTTATTTTAGTTATCCGTTCAAAGGTAGTTAAGCTTTAAATTGACCGGGTAAGAGTTAAAAAGCCCCTACAAAAAAGGCAAAGATTTGAAAGCAAGTAGATACTTTCTATACAGCTGGCTAAAATTATTTGCCATTTAATATTTTTTACCAATTGCTAATTGCTTAAGAATATTATTATTTCAATTAGTGGCGCCACTAAGCTACCACATGCTTAGCTCGGTAGTATATTAATGCGTTCATTAAAAAAAAAAGAAGGAAAAGTAAAAACATTATAGTCGGGCACAATCACTCTTAAAACGCCCTGCATCATTTTGCTTAACACACTAAAAAGTTTGGTATAAGGGCATGTTTTTTATGGCAGATAACATATTGGATGGTGGCTGAAACGTCAATTGGCGTGATTAAAACTTAGCTCAAGAGATAGCCCCATCTAATCCAAAGTATTCACTCCAATTTAGAATGACGAAACACTATTACTCAGTCATTTTTGTCGAGAAATGTCGAGGACAGGCAGATAAGCTCAGATCGATTCCGATTCGCTTTCACAAAGTTGGCTATATCTGAACTCGTTGTGGTGTTACATACATCCCTTAATAAACCCTATACAACAAGTGGTGTAGGGTATTAAAAACTAAAACAAACACAAATAGAGACTTTGAAGTTGAGCAAGACCGAGCATTAAATATCCTACACCAATTCGCTTAATGCAATCCTTCGTTTATTTTCGTGCAAATTACCACAAACTATACCCGGCTTCCAGGTGAAGAAATGCTTTTCATCGATCGAAATTTGTGGAAATTAGCTTCTTTGGCAAAAACCTTTCTCCTCACAAGCTACTAACAATTAGGCTTCATTGCCATAGAGAGTAAAGTAGTGAAGACCTACTCTTCTTGAGAACAGTTGTATGAGATGGGTATCAAAATTTTGACCTATCTGAGACAAATTTCACACATCAATACATTATGGTGAAATACTATTTTGCAAGTTGTAAGCTTGTTCCATATAACAACTGTTTTAAAGTAAGACGTTATTTTGAGATTTATCGCTCCGATCCCATTTCAAACTTTCAGCAACTTTCGTTCTTGGGTCAGAACAGGTCAATGTGCCGCATTTTGGCAAAACGTCTCGAACATTTCGCCTAATATGTATAAGTAAAACATGTACAGACATCAAATGTCAAGTGGTCACACATGATTGATATAATGAAAAGCGAGCTAATCTTAAGTCTATTCTGGATGCTACAGCTGCATATACCAGCGCGAACTTAACGTACCCTCTACCACAAGTAGTGCAAGATACGAAATCTTGAATAGGATAAAGATAAGTTTACACCGATAACAGATTTGGAATTGATTGAAGTATTCCTAGAGAAGTAGGAGAGACCATAACACCAAACTTTTCTTGTTCAATAAATTTTCTTTTTAAAATTTCTCATAATAGCTGAGAAATTTTATTCCCATCAATGTGTTCGAGTCTAAAGGAAGATTTTTCTCCATAATTACGAATATTTGTTTCTCGGACGAAAACTTGTCTTATTTTTACTAACGGAAATAACAATAGTAGCTGATATGAAAAAGGAGAAGTTATGTAATAAGAAATATCAATTATTAGATGAAAAGCAGATCTTATCTCATACCTGAAGATAAGAAGTATGATATGATGATAACGATTAGTGTGTTTAGCTGGAGTTCGATAATCACCAACTGTTCGACAATCAGTCAGATCTTATAAGTGTGGAAAGGTTGTATAGTGATCCTGACATTCCTTGCATTTGGCTTAGGCGTCCTTTGTCACGCTGCACGGATTAATTGTGGATAGGAATTATTATATATGTGCTCAGGCAGCATATACGCAAAAATTTCCAATACTTATGGCGTTTTTGTGCGTTGCAAATAGCGTAATAAAATCAATATAACGTTTACTAGTGGATGTCTAGAACGTAGTAAAAACAAGGCCGTTCCATATAGAAAGCTCTTCGTATATATGCAATGAAATAAAGCAAAAAGCTAAATAAAATTGAAGAAAAAAGAGAGAAAAAGAAAAAATTCATTTCAGTCTCAATTGACTTTCCCCTGCGATTGCGACCAATGCAACTGATGACGATTACGGTATGATGATGTTTGCTTTCTTTTCCAATGGCAACATGAGAAGCATTAATTTAAAGGTCAAATTTAGAGTTTCGTTCAAACGCATGTACGTGAATATTTATGTTCTGGAGAAAAATGAAAAATTTACTGAAATACTTAACACAATAAAGGCAAAATTATATAAAACGAAACACTAAACAAAGAATTAAAAACATACCGGATACGTCGTCTTTCACTGATGAGAAATTGTTATGAAAATGTTAATAAATAAAGCCAAGGATAAGGATAAGGAATTCAATGTGCATTGGAGATGCGATTGAAAGAAAGAAAATCTCATTAAAGTGAATTATAAGTAGAATCATACCTTTTTATTTCAAAGGTGTTCGGATCACCTTGTCCGCAAGCATGATGTGAACCTGAATTATTAATAATGCTTCCGAAGATTGCGGTGTTTCTGCGATTGTTGCTTACTTAAGGCGAAGTTGGCATACACTTCAAACCAGTTATTAGCAAGTTTTGTCTTAAAATTATTAATTCCGCTCCTTTGTCAATATGCGCCTTTTCTAGTCATTATTATTGCAAAATCCTACTTATTGGTAGGAGATCCTTTATAAAGAGCCATTAATTAATCAATATCTATCATATATTACATAAATTTACTGTGCAAGTTTGGACTCCATCGGCGTACTTTTTGGACCCCATAACAGGTAAGGTGTCTATCTAAATGGGAATATCACATAGTTCGGATAGTTTATGACGAAAATAAGCCCAGAATAGCACTATGTGAATTGATGTAGGGCATTTAAAGCCATCCTTGCCTGTCGGTAAAATCTAAACTTTTTATTTGTGATAAAAATTAATTTTTTAATTTAGATATTTTCAGCGTTCGACATGTTTTTGCAAAACTAATTCGATAGCTGACTAAAAAATCTGACGGCTGCGTTAGTTATCAGGCGATGTCTTAATTCAGTTTTTCAGTATTTAATTTAATTTCTGCACAAAGAAAATAATAGGCGCATATTTTATATTTTATCTAACCTTATACTTAACACATAACCAACTTCAAAGTATACTTAACGCTATTGATTATCCGCTAATGCTATGGAACATGTTAGTGAGGTTGTGAGCATTGCAGAGAGATATCCATTTCTTAGCAGGAATATGGTTACATAAGAGATTCCAAGTAATCGCTTTCAGCAAATCAATTCCTAAGATCAACCTAAACGTAGCTTATCAAGAGGGCACCTTGGGGCATACTTTGCTTCACGAACTTTGGAGTTCTGTAAAAGGAGGATTGAAAATTTTCAGGAAATATTGTTTGAAAGCTGTTTTTTTTATAGTTTAATATAATTGATTATTTGTATTTGTGGATCGATCCCCTTTATTTCTATATTCGCCACCGAAACATGATGGGAACATTCATTTGGTCAAAACGTTTCAGACACCCAGAACTAAACCTTCAGAGACGTCGTGAAGTATATTCTTGATCAGAAAAAAGCTCTAAATCAATTTGAGTATACCCGTCCATCCGTACGTCCGACCGTTTGTCTATCAGTGTTATGTTTTTGTTTTTCTGGTCGCAAAAAGAAGTTTTCTACTTCAAATTTGGCAGAAACAATGGAAGTTCCAGTAGGGAGGTTGGTATGAAAAATGGCACAAGTAAAGCGTAAACTGAAAACAACTCAGTCTCTCTAAGCAGGAATTTGTGGGTTTTGTTCATTGCTCAAAAGTTATGAAAGACAGAAGGCTGAAATTTTCTATATTTACTTCATGGAGAGCCCTACTATTCATTGGCAAAAATCGATCAGGTCCATACAACTTTCCCATTCGGTTCGTAATATTCAGGAACGTGCAACAGAAATGTTTACTATTGATCAGGCAAATAACTTTTAGGCATGACGTTCTTTTACTCCTTGTTGCCTGTTTACCGACAGAAATTTGACAAATTTAAACGAATTTCATGGCTCAAGTTGATAAAGGGCCATTGTCTGGAGGTAAAGACGCTTCCAATATTACAAAGATTGTACAAATTAAAGGAAAGCGATATTTTGGACTTATCTCACATCAAATGTTAACAATATCTTTAAAGGTATTGCAAAGTGCTTGGTTTACCTTATTTTATACCCAGCCAAGAAAAAAATAAAAGAAACATTTTTAAATGAATATAAAAAAAGCAGCAAAGGTCGCTGGTTTTGATTTTTTTTTCATTTTTAAATTGCAAAAGTAAATAAGATATTTTAGCGATTTAACGCCACAAATGCAATTATTCTCTAGGTTAGATACAAATTAAAAAGTTTGTACATCAAATAAAGGATGATTAATATAAATGCAGCCAGAGTTAGGTAACAAGCGTGGTAAGCTTATCTACAATATGTACAATTCTATGTGCATCACACACAGTTTGTCATGACTTGTTTAAATAAATCACTCCCTAAGGGCCGTATAAACGGTTGCCCAACTTCCTGCCTGTTTCTCTGCCTATCTAACCATGTTCGGTTTGTCGTACTCCTGAATATTTAAATGTCAGTTTGGTTTAAGTAAACGTTATCATCAACGTGAATACCCAATAGTATTCCATACCGATGTTATTGTTATTGTTATTGATAGATACTTTCTTGCACTTTTTTTTTCCTTTCATTATCATTATCGCTTTTGATTTGTCTGCGGAGCTCTATTGCCTTATTTTCATATTCAATTGTGTTGGTTGAGCTAATTGGGGGAATTGCTTGAATAAAGTGTCCTTTAATTGCTTTAGTCGCCATAAAATCTATCTTCTATCTATCTAGTTCTATAAAAGTATTAAATTTAAACTGCGTTTAACAACAGCGTTGTTAGCCACATTTACAAAAATGGATATGAGGGAAATTCACATCGATACGCGAAATACTCTGCAGACAACAGATCTTTTAACTTAAAACTTAAATCACATCCAGATTTTTAAAATATCGCCCAACTATCAGTTGACGTTACTGGGTAGTACTGTTGGCGCATAACTAGTACTATTTATAATATGGACAGTCCTGTGGACGCATATCTGATATCATGTGATATTAGATAATATTTTTAAGTCTACAGGTAAAGGCACAATTTTTATATCTTACGCGCCAGTAAAGTGTACGTAACGCATTCGTTTCAAGTTTTTTATAGCTATCGTATTGTGAGCTAAAGAAAAGCCTTGCGAGGAAGATGTTTTTATTCCTAATTAACTCCAAGAAAAGTGCTAGTGAATTGTGACGAATAACGAAGGTCGGACACGCCATTTTCATCCGATAGGCAGGCATTAGTGATGAAGGCGAAACATGCTCGGTATTTGATGGAATCAGATTAGCATGGTGCATTATAAGCTGCTTTAACTCTATGCGAAATCACCACTGACCGCAGTACTGGCAAGCATAGCTTACAAAGTTACGCTGATCATTAACGAGCGAAGGATCGAAATATACTAAAACTATTAAAGTGGTGAAGCGTGTGCTAGTTGAAGAATGTTCGGTTATGGGGAGCTTTAGAAGCGCTCAATTTCAATCGTCTGGCTGTAACAGGTGGACCTTGTTTCTTTTGATTAACTCTTGTTTCGGCCCATGCTGGTTCTTATGGAGTTGTCCAAATGTGTGATTTTTTGCAAATATTCTGTATGGTTTCTCGCACGGAGCACGAAATTCTTATGCTGGCAGAAAGATGGCAAAATGTTGATGAGCAGTGCTTTAAAAGTAATGTTTTTGGATGGATTTTTAATTGGCTGCATATACATACTACACAGGCTATATGCTTATTACTGACATCATAAGCAATTTAATCATTGTCGGCGATAGAAAGGTTTGATGTTTAGGTAATCAGAAACCAGAAACTGTTATGCAGTCTGGCTAAAGTAGAACTCTGAAATCTCAGAATATGTAAATTATTTACTCCGCGGCCCGCTTATGTGCTATCGTTAAGCTTTATAAGGCTTTATAAAATTCGTCTGGCATCAAATTCCATATTTACCTGGAAAGAAAATATATTTTATCAAAAATGTGCATCGTACTGCTATGTGCTTGCTAAGCCATGTGCTTGTAAGCATTTTATGGTTTCTGTGAACGCAAATTGAGTATATATTGCAGCGCAGTATACACACAAATACACAAACACTGCCGTATGTAAAGTATTGATGTAACCAAACATAGCTGAACGGCACGATTGTTATACAAGCCGCGATGCATTTCTAATTTCAAGATTTTTCCATGATAGCGAAAATTGTTAATATTAAAAAAAAATATATTTTTTTATTTTTTTATTTATTAATACTTATTTACATTATGATATAAACACTGACTTGAAGGGAGTACTTTCGATTTCTGTGCATGCGAACGTGTGTTCCTGAGGGTTGTTGGGTGTAAGGATTACACTCAATTAACTTATCCATAATGTCGTTTTGGTCGACATTTTGTCGGTTTTTTTAAAGTTATGTTCACAATAACAATGAAATTGTCTTCTTTGGCGCAGAAGTTGATGTCTTTGCGGTCAGATTGTGCTTTACAGATTTTGTTTCTATGCAATGGGATGTACAGCAATGAAAACGGGAAACGTAGTAACTGTACTACTGTAAAGTTAAAAGTGCCTTTTGCGACATTATACGCAGTTTCCTAAGTTGCAGTTGGTTGATAGTAACGGGGACTTTAAGTTCATTACGAGATACTTTGCGTGAATCAAAAAAAAAAAGCAAATGACGAAATAAACAAACAAAGGCCTAATTAGCAGTTAGGCCTTTTTGGCATATAAGAGTTTAAATTTGCTGAGAATTCTTATATACGATGGTATCGAAAAAATAGATTTACGCGGTCCAAAGTTGAATTCCTTGTCAATTTACTATTACAAATCGATTTTCACCATGAAACATTGAAAATTAGATCTTTTTACCATATAGAGATTCACTTTTCATAGGAAAGGTTATATGGGTGGACCTTCACCCCCAGCCAAACCAAATTTCTCATACAATGCTATTACTCGGCGTTTTTTATCGACAAATTTGGAAACTGCAAATTTTTTTGAGGAGCGGTCGTAATAGTAATTCGACCCGATTCATTTTCATTAGCGCTCCCCTTTGAGTTAAAGCATGCCGATGCACCAAATCTCACCGAAACGTCTAAAAAATTACGAGCTGTAGATTGAGCACAAAAATACGTTGCCAGACATCAGACGGATAGAGTAGCTTACATCGATTCCGAGAATGATTCGAAATCCAGCGGATTTATCTTAACTTCTTCTGGTTGTTACATATGTCCGAATAATCTTCATTTAGCAAAAGGTGGAGGATGTAAAAATACGCAGAATTAGAACAGGTTAAGGAAGCCAACAATTACATACCCTGCACAACTCTAATCTATTAAAGGTTTACTTTTCTTGAGAAACTTGAAATGAGGGAGGACCGAACCACTAGTTCATGGCTAATTTAGTTAATTATATTAGTAAAGAACTATCAGAGGTTTTCCTACGGAGGGGGCGCTTTGTCGGCAACATAATTTATTTGTTCAAAATGACAATTAGTCAAAGAATCATAATCTCATTCGAACTCGTAAATGAATTTAGAAAAATACTCGATTCAAGGAGCAAAGAGAATACCAGTTTATTATACTGAGAGACTTTGCTTTGCTTTTGCACACCCATTTATGTCAATGTTACATAAGATTCGATACGTTTTGGAGATTATCTTTCATATTTTGCACATGATCGTTTTGAAGATGTGGGGTTGGTTGAGCACATGCACAGCCATCACGAAGAACTCCATTGAATGGTTCGCATATATCAAGCTGTCATCGACAGGTTATTGACGTCCGTTATACCGGAAAGCCTTATATTGGTATAGACTTTCCAACGACAAATGGCCCTTGTTATGCCTTCTGATCGCAAGATAAGTGGCTAGAGAGAAAAACTGGTTATGGAGGATAAAAGACTCGTTCTGCTAAATTTTTTCAGCTTTTCAAAGGAGACTCCTCCGAGAGAGAATAAAAATCGAATTATACCCAGGTAGTCGACTTAACACTTTTCATTGATTGTATTTATTTGATTAAAATAATCTACTTTAGGGTAATGAATCTTTGTTGAGAACCTGAAATAAATCTGAATTTTGGCGTTAATTACAAGGTCCTTCTCTTTGGTGAATTTTAAACAATGTATTCACGATATAATACTTGCATCGCAGTGTTATATTGTAAGTGCCGTGACCGTATGAAATTATTTCGCTTTTCTTTCGTATTTATATTGTATATGAAGTAATATTTTGAAAAAGAATTAAACTTTTAACTGAAGCACACAATGGAAGACACTTAACAAAATGCTTGGGTGTGCGAGTGTGTGTGTGTCCTATTGTTTGTTACTTATTACGAAAAACGAACAAGTGTTAAGAAAACTACTCATGGAGCAGCCAGCGTCTATGAAACTATTGCAAACAACCAACTGAACTAACTAAACTAAAAAGAGGGTTTTTTTTTTTTATACGGTCAATACGGTACAGAAGGGCAGTAAATCATATCTCAGCAATAAGGGAGAAAAGTCGCTATCTGCTAGTCCGAGTTTGCGGGCAATTAGTTACAAAATACTTTAGGGTTGACACAGAAGCCAAACTTTTCCTTCCATTTTCGCATAAATTCTCTCGAATGTTTAAAGTTCGTTTTACACATTTTGGTCTTTAATAGCAATTTATGAACATATTATATATATATATATATATATATATATATATATGTGCATAATTTTATTATCATATTTTCCGCGCTTCTGGGTAACATTTATAATTTTAATTAATTGAAACAATATGTCAATATGCGAGCAATGTTTCAGTCAACTTCTTCGCTCTTTATTGCAAGTTTAGCTTTCTTTTAAATAGAGCCAAAATGGTGTCCGACAAAGATAAATGTTAAAATATATTTTCGCATTAAACTAGTTTTCGCGACAAATTTGGACAACGTAGATCTTTTGGGTACGACGCTGTGTACTTACTTTTTAGTACGAAATAGTCGAATATAAAGAATTGGATTAAGTAAAGTGGTTTAGCATTATTTTTAAAAAGTCTAAGGCAAAATTTTCATTTCAGCTTATGAAGTGCGCCTAGTCCCCTAACGGTTTTTCTAATCGTTCATTTTGTTAGCACTTTTTGGCAATTAAAGTTATGTCATTTGTGTATAGGATTTAAAAAAAAAAACGTTGCAATGGTAGTCAGAAACTTGCAGAGATTTCAAGAGGATGGGCTTATGACAGATCGTAGAGCATAGCAATATCTTCAGTCTATTCTTACACAGGAAAATAGGTTCATGATGAGCCAAGGCCAAAACGCCAAACACTATCCACGCTGCTCACTCATCCTCATCACCATGCAATCTTTCGGAAGGAAGTTTACGCCGAACGTTACTCACTGGGATCACTATCGATGATTTTCAATACTTAATCCTTAAAGCTATTTGACAACTTGGATAGATGCGCAAAAGACTCGAGTATATCTCTTGAAATACTGTCGCCCATTGCACTCATTATCTTCTGATCTGACAATGCGTAAAATTTGTGCTATAGCCTGAAAGTTGTAAAGATTATTCGAACATCGGATGCGTCTGTAAACACGTCCACAACACTCACAAAGTTACAATTTATAGCCGTTGTCCTGCAATCCAGTTCACATATTTAAGTGAATTATCTAATTCTTCAGTACAACATCCACTTTCAATTGACGAGGAATTTGCAACCTAGAGAAGATGTTGGCCTAAAATTTTGTATTTATTTTTAAATTAGTTATGTAGCTAAATGGATGCAAATTTAAAAGGGCTTATTCCATACGATAGGACATAGGTTTAAAATAACGGACGTCAAAGACTTGCTCTTAATCTAACATTGCTGTTTGACAAAGTGTTAGGTCGCTTCACTCTACATCCATAATATCTATTTTTAACATGTACTTACACAGGCAAACAAAATTTCATAAGTTTGATTGTTTAGCTCATCGGCTAGGGAAAAATCATTCGGATATTTTCTATCAGGGAGATTGACATGATTTAATCTTCTTGTCAACATTTACTTGTTCAATATGCAGAGACTCGCCACATAGCATGTTATATATAGAAAAGCATTGAGGTGCAAGACAGCTTTGCATATTTAAGATAATATTTTTGAGAAGAAAATTGTATTGAAAAACGTATAGTGGTCTGCTGTGGAACTTTATGCACATAAAATGTACCATGAAATTTACTTAATTGAAGTGCGAGGTTTTACCGACCAATCGTCCGGATGCACGTAACCCACGGTCTTAAGCCTATGTGCATAAAAGCGTTCTCACAGTGGGTGTGGAAATAACGTTGGTTTTCACAAGCCACACGCACACGATATTTATTATCTATAGCATATATTTGTATACTTGTATTAAGACAATATAAACGCACACATATTTATACTTTATCTACTAATAATATATATATATATATATATGTATGTGGATATATTATATATAAAAATTTTGTTAGAGCAAATGCAGAAAAATATTTTTTGTTTTTTATTTGTAGCAGTCGCTACAAAAACTAAAACGCCCTGCCCCACTAACTCTATCAAGTTTTGTTTAATTGCTTGTGAAAAGAGTATCATTTTAAAGCGCCTGCGTTAATATACGTGTATGAAATAAAATTTAAATGAAAACTAACACAAGCAAATACTCAAAGGAGGTAAAGTGTGTTTCATTTCACATGAACCCAACGAGTACTTTGATATGCATGCGTACGACGGGAAGAGAGAAAATAAATATAAAATCGGAATTTGTGCAATTCTAAGCACCCCATCACGGGGGCACTCACTCAGACTTTTCTAGGTAGAAATACTTAAGAAAAATATAAAATTGAACAAAAGAACAAAAAAATCGATGAGCAAATAAAGAAATCTGCATTAAATCGATAAAGAGCCTCCCGAGGACATGAAAAACGCTTTACTAACTGTTAAATATTTATTAAATAGTGCTTCTAACAGTCATGGCTGAAACCTTCCCGTTTCGGCTTCCCTACCATCTTAAAGCTATGACTCGAAAGAAGTGAAAATATTTGAAAACTCTTAAGCATAGCAATTGGTTTTTCCCATGAACACGTCGAATTCTTCGCAACATATACAAGTAAACGATATTATCGGCTACGAATAATAAAATCCTTTCGCAATTCATTCGTAAGTGTTTTCAATATTGTTCGCATGTCAGTTTATGCGTATATCTCTTATCTTTGCTGGTAAAGTGATTTATGAAGTAATGTTCAACTTATAAACCGATTTGGAAAATTAAGTTATACGAACGATGAAGCATTTATCATGGCTTCGGCTTTAGTCAGGTACATATACCGTACTTTTTGTGGTCAAAGTCATCGTTTTCTTTCGTGGAAAGCCTCTTTCACTTAAAACGCCTGGCAATAGACAATTTTTCTATTGTAACCTGACATGCTTTTATCTACACTTTATACATTTCTCAGACTTTTAATGGTACTCTATACTAATTATAACTATGTAAACAAATTATGGACATTCTCGACCCCAATTATCAAAAAGTAAATGTGGATAAGTTATGAATTTACACAAGATCAGGAGTCGGCTTACGGCCGATATCGAGTTTGAATATACTACTCGACAACAACTTACGAATCCACAATTACGGTCGAAAGTATTTTCATTTGATAGTAAGAAAAATGTATACTTTATCGACAGCTGTGAGCGCATAGTTATAGCGAATCCGTAATCCATAGCTATCAAGTGTATTCTAACGACTTTATTCGATATCGAGAACCATAAACCGGCTCCACTCATTCTAAAGCCAAATCATCAAATTTCTCTTCGGATATGTAAAACAAGCAAGAATGCTACAGTCGACCATTACATATCCTGAACCTGATGCAGTCATTTAATCATTTTCTTAATGAAGCACTAAAAATTATACATAATTTTTATGTAAGTCATCAGATATGAGGCGGACAGAAGTGGCATGGACGAACGGACAAGCTTACATCCATTCATCATCGATTCATATGGATATCTCAAATTCTTCTCGCTGTTCCAACCGTCCGACCAAACTTAATATATCCTTTATAACAAGTGATGTAGGGCATAAAAAGGGAAGAAACTTGAATATTAGTAAATAAATTATTTGGTGAAAAATCATGTTCTAAGTTACTTTAAATTTTTCTGCCGGTCTGTCAGTGTTGTTACCTTGTACCGTAATATCTACGATATTTCGGTGAAATTTGGTATACCAACGTGTTTTGGCCCAAGGACGAACGCTGTTGAAATTAGTTCGGATCGAACCACCTTTCCGACTATTTCCTATATGAAGTCTTATTTTGGAAAGTCGTTATATCTACCGTGGCCCACCTTAGTGCTCTTAGTTGTTTTAGAACCACATTTGTACTGCGATCGTTAGTGTTGTTAGTTTTCTTATGAAGTTCGCTTAACGTGTCGAAAGGGCCTAAAAAGGTAATAAGAACAATAACATTAAGAAATAAGTGCTTTTTAGATCTTAAAGAGAAATAATAATTTATACACAATCCGTTGTAAGCGATTAATTTTCGATTCTGCGACCACAAGTTTAAAGGAGAAGTTTTTTTCGAGACTGATAAAAAACTTTCGTAATATCAACCATCGAAATGAATTAATTTCCGACAATAAATAAAAATAGATAAGAGATAAAGATAATTTTTATTGATTAGTTTGCCAGGCTTGCTCTTGACTTAACAAGTTTAAGAGTGTTACGCGATTTTAATTAAAGTGCGACTGTAAGCAAAGTCTTGCTATCAAGTTTTTTCCTTGTACAAAACTTTATAAAAACCAATAGCAATAACAACGAAAAATTAAAGTTGCATAATTAAAAGTAATTCTCCGACGAAATTGTTGTCAATATTATGCATTAACAGGCAAGCAGTTCGCGCGATTAGTCTTTCGTAAGTTGCAAATGAAAAATTTGGCTTTAAAATGAGAGGGTGGCAAATGTACGGCCGTACACATACAGCGCAGTTCACTAAATGCGAAAGCACTCGTTCCAGTCCTTAAAACGAATCACCATAACTGTAACTACTTGCACTTATAAGTGAGGAAAACCGACCATTAAAAAAAAAGTGTTATTACACAAGTTTGATTTATAGTTCTTTTATATATACATATATAGCTATGTGATGATGTATGTGCTCGTGAAAAATGTTTTATATCGAAAAGTCAAGAACGATAGCGTACTGCTGTGCAGATACGTTTACAAGCTTATGGTTGAGTTCGTACTCAAACCGAGAGCATGTGTTTTCCTTATTGTTCATCAGCGCCTAAAAGCATGCAGTCCTTATTTCTGCTTCTGCCACCCCTCGGTTATATTTACTTTGCTCATATTGTTTATTTTATAGTTTGTTGTATTTGAAACTAATCGTTCATTAATCGAGTATGCTTTCGATAGTCAAACCTCGTGCCGTTCAGAAATTTAATAAATCATTTTATAAATATATTTCGAGAAATTCAATGATTGCTTAGACATTATTATGTAATCGATTGTTAAAAAATCATATCCGCAAAGTATAAAATACATTAAAAACTTAACGTGATTTTATGTTTTTATGGAAGGTCAACATGTATAACGTAAAGTGCTTCAAGTGTACAAAAAAAAAAAAATGATTATTCGATTTTACCCTATTTTCAAAAAAATGATAATTCGATTTTACCCCGAATCGGATCGTTCCATATGGGTTATCTAACACCACGATATTTTGTGCTTTTTTTTTTTTAATTGGTGGGCAAATCTCTTTTCATTACCCATTAGCATCTGTGTTCTTCGCTTCAAAACAAGACCTAAAGGGTTAAACGTCCTCGAATAAATTTAAATCAGTGAATTCCAAAAATTGATATGAATATTACGGGCCCTTGTTAATACTTAGATCAATCAGCGAACAATGTGGTAAAGTTGACAACGTTAATCAAGCAAATACAAGCAAGCCACTAAGCTCAAAGCCTTTTTTTTTTTGGTATTATGATGTCTTGCTTTAGTTGAAGAACCAATTACATATTTGTTATTTAAAGTTCCATTGATAAAATTATTTTTAATTTTCTTCTTATTTATGAAATGAAATTTTAAGCTTGTAAGAAAGAAATTTTAAGGGCTTTCTCTCTCGTGTTTGGTGCTGTTTGAGAATATACGCACTTTCGATGTCTTATGAATATAAAATAAATCTAACATATATGTTTGTTGTAACACACTTGACTAATCACTTAGGGTATAGGCTGGATTGATGTATGCACAATAGTTGCGCTAAAATCTAGTCGCGTGGTGCGTGGTGTAGGCACTTAATTTTCTTTTTTTGGTCTAAGATGAACATCACTTTTTTATTTCAATTCTTCAATTCTCTCATTTATTTTATTTCATTCATATCGTGAAAGCCACCTTATCTTAATTTTAATTTTTTTCATTTTGCTTTAAAGGAAAAAGCGACTGCCTTTTTTCTGCTTTCCGTTCTCTTTACCTATTTCTCCTTGTTGTTGCTTTCGCTGTTGTTCTTGTTCTTGTTGTTTTTGCTGATGCAAACATTGACTGTGGTAACGTTCAGATGACATAAATTTATCCAAATTCGTCTTCAAATCATTAGATGCGTCAGCGTCAAGGACATCTGTACACTTTTTTAAGTAAGCATCATGCAACTGCTCTTTGAAAGTTAGACGTGTACTTTCTTCTACTTCAATAGGAACCGGACTGCTAGGTGGCGTTAACACTGTGGTGTGCCATTCATAAGGTAAATTCAAATTTGTACCAGACAGTGAAGAAGATTTCAATTGTATTTTAGCGGTAGATAAAAAGGTTTCCCTTGCGTCGTCGGAATAAAAACGGGGTAAGGTATTCACGTCAGTAGCCATACTATTAGTTTTCTCGTGCGATTTAATAATTCTAATTTCAACTCTATTATTAACTTCAGTATTTGCCAGTCTGTGCTCAACTGAACGCTTATTTGTCTACTGATCTCAGTAATTTAATCCATAAAGTTTAGCACACAAAGCTAACGTCATTGTCATTGGGTGCTGAGCTCGTATGCATGACGCACATGCTTAAAGCGTTATGCGAATTTTACAAAAATTATTTTTTAGTTCTGTTCAATTTCATTATTCTCCGCAGTGTTGGACTTTGCTATAAGAGAGAATGTAAGAAAAAGGAAATTCTTTTGATATGAATAACAAAATAAGTTCAACTAAGACGAATTGTGATCACATTACCTATCTGGTGTAAATCAAGCCAATTAGATCTTCTTCTAAACGATTAACTCCGCTTTAGGTGAACGTGTGATCCCGTTTGATACTTTGAACGATAACGCTTATCTAAGACTTCTTGAAACGAATGTCACTCAGTCAATTAATTCATTATTAACTTACGAAGAAGAAGCAGTAGTAATCCTAAGCGCGTCCTAATACGTCTAATCACGTGACGTTCACAAAGTAGTTAGTAAAGAGAGACAAATAGGAAGGTGGCCGGGTGCCTGCACAATCGGTAATTGTCATATGATCAAAGTAAATTCTACCGTCCTCCGATTTGAACCTATGACTTGGGCTTCACTATAATCGCTGCCATATTTCTGATTAAAGTCTCCAATAACTGGACGAATGTCATTATAAATGTGGTTATGTCTCTATTAGCACAGCCATTTCTTTCCTTTAGGAAAGCAACTATTTGCCAAGCGTCGTTGTCTCTTATATCAACAATTTTTATATCCAATGCTAAGAAAAGTTTAGTTTTTATCTTCAGAATATCGAAGGGACCTGCATAGTTTAATGCAAATTAGTCAAGAACACACAGACTTTACACAGCCATATATAAACTCTAGCACGCCTTTAAGTGTTACAAACGGATGATTCAATTAAAAGTCCTCACAACATTCTAGTTTATCTCACTGCTTATCTGGAAATGTTGTTAAGTATTCGACTAACAAAAACATATTTATCTTTTTATCTGGTTTGGAGTCTAAAAAAGTTTGGAAAAATGCCATTTCTTCGTAATTCAGGCAATAGCATGTGCTCCTTTCTAGTGCCATATATACGTTGCCTTGGTGAAGAAGTAACAATGGAGGAAAAGAAAAATGTAACGTTTTTTCTAGTAAACGAACAATTTTATCAGTGAAAAATTTAGCTCAGAGACTGTAACCTGCATAGTCATCTACTCCCAAGCATATGTAATATGAGTAAGTGCAGCAGTATGAGTCACTTTATAAGAGGCTATGGAGTGACATTGTAATGTACGTGCATGCATATTACAACAAACAATGACTGGTTTCCTCTCGTTCTGATGCTTTAAATTGCTTTGCATTCAGCTCTCAGTCTGAGAGTACTAATGTGATGTAGGTGTTATATGTTTTTTATTTTGACACACACACATCGTCGTACAAAGGGGATATTCTAGATTAGTCATATCATTTGTAATATTCACAAATAAACCTAAGATCAACAATGAGAAAAAAAGATTTTATTTGTCAAAGGACAGACCGGACACTTTTTTCATCTATACTTAATATTGAGATTATATGTTGAACAAATGCATCATGTTCGAATTGACATACCGCCAGTTTTTGACGAAATGTATATTTCTTCTATGAGAACTCCAAAAATTCTAAATTAATCTTCCTTTATTAAAAAGGAGGTCGCACTGTTATTCTCTTCGTCTTGGCCTCTCCTCTATCTGCATTCTTATCGGGCTAGGACTTTGCTTAGACATACAGGAGACATAGCCAGAATGGCTGGTGAGGAAGAAAAACCAGGGACACCATTAGGTACCATAATTTCGAAGGAATTGATTCGTCATCAATGTGATCTTAAATTGTCACAGCCGGCTGTTAGATGATCGCGCATGCGATGCTTTAGTTTTAAAAAAAGAACGGAATTGTTTCAAACGAATTGCTTCATAAATATTTTTCGTCAATGATGTTTGGTGAGAAAATTAATAATTGAATCATTTAAGTTAGTCCAGTGGCTGAAAAAGAAGATGTAACAAAGTGCAGCAGAGTTTATTCCAAAATGTGAAAATATGGATATATTGTAAATCTACTATGCACACCATGTCTACGTTGGCTACGGCCATTATACAGAGTGCAGTGGAAGATTTACATGCAAGCATTTTTTATAATAATACTCATCCTCAGGCAATTGGGGTGCTATCACTTTCTGGCCAGAAGTTTATACGTCACTGGTCACATGGCATATAACTTGTGCTTACACTTATTGGAATCTCAAGAACATTTAGGAAATTTCTTGAAGTTAAAGGCAATATATTCAAAATTTGATGGTGGCGAAGAATACACATCGATATTTTATCTAAAGCTTCCTGCTTAGGGTTTCGAAGGTTTTGATGGCATGTATATATGCCCATCCTTCACCCCGTATCAAAATTTTTCTATTCGATTTTTATACATTTCTTTGAAGAGATAGGTAACCGAGTAAGCCGAACAATATCATATTTTACTTATCGAAGTAAGAATGAATGTACAAATTTGCTCAACATATGCTCTCAAGTTAATATTTATTAAATCTCTCAATATGTGCCACATCACGCAAGCAAGCGTAGTTAGTTATGGTTTTATTATTATTTGCATAAATTAATTTATTGCCCTCTCCTCTTTTCTCTTTCTTTTCAAATATGTTATGACAATATAAATTGCGTAAGTTTTAAGTATTTTTATTAATATATTTTTATACCCATCATCGAAGGATGAGCGGTATATTCATTTTGCCAAAATGTTTGCAACACCCTGAAAGAAGACTCAGACAACCCGTAAAATGTATATCTATGTCACCAGCGTCAAATTCTAAACCAATTTAAGTAAGACTGCCTGGCCTTATGTTTGTTTATCCGCGTGTCCGTATAATTGTCTGTTTGTGTGTGCAAGCATTATTCTGTTTCAAATTTGGCAGAAAGATTGGAAGTTGTTGGAATTGGGACGAATCGGTCAAAGTACCCGGTCAAAGCACAACATAATCTGAAACCTTTGCTACTCATAGTAACTGTACCCACTTAATATTATAAAAATGTACTTTTTCCCGTTTTTTTAGTCTTGATGGGTATAAAAGATTTGGTTGTAGCCGAATATAATTTTCTTTCGATTTGTTTAGGTTTATCGAACACCGGCAAGTTAGCAGTATATTCGCCCTGTAAAACTCAGAAGGAGACTAAAGAAATCCTATAAAGTTTTAATCGGTGTCAAAATTTACATGGATCTAAGCATGTCCGTCTGCCAATCTATAGTAAACATGATTGTTAATGAAAAGTCGTGACCTCGGTCGAAACACAAAACGACACAAAATAGGAATACCTTTGGTTTCAAAAGCGAAAAAAAAAAAAAATGTTCTTTTCGCCTCGCTTCAATTGCTTCAACTTTGCCTTCAATCAATGCTTAAATCATTTATTGCAAATCTTTGAAATGATTATTAAGAACTTGAAAAATTGTTTAAAATTTTTTTAGTTAAATCTAATGTAGCTTCTTACGAAAGAAATGATGAGTGAGAGATTTGAGTGAATTTGAGAAAAGATAATTCATAATGTGAGGTTATGAAAAATTGATTGATTGAAAAATTGTGCTATTTTGGTAAAAAATTTGTTGTTTTTCTTTCTTTCAGAAACCCGCCACGATAATGAAACCGTTATTAAGACACCGCTGTTTCCGAAAGATCTATTTACCAAAGAACAATTGGAAAATGGCGCTGTCGTCTGTCATATTCTTGGTGTCATTTATATGTTTGTGGCATTGGCCATTGTATGCGATGAATTCTTTGTGCCTTCCCTGGATGTAATCATTGAGAAACTCGGTATCACTGACGATGTTGCCGGTGCAACATTTATGGCGGCAGGTGGCAGTGCACCCGAGCTATTTACAAGCGTTATTGGTGTATTTGTATCATTCGATGATGTTGGCATTGGTACAATTGTCGGTTCGGCTGTATTCAATATTCTATTTGTGATCGGTATGTGTGCGCTGTTCTCGCGAACGATACTATCGTTGACTTGGTGGCCGTTATTCCGTGACTGCTCCTTCTACAGTCTTAGTTTGATGGTATTGATATATTTTTTTCGTGATAATCTTATCTATTGGTGGGAGGCGCTTATACTCTTTTGCGTTTACATCGCCTACGTAACATTTATGAAATGGAACGTTGAAGTGGAGTCGTGCGTGAAGAAACTGATATCGAAAAATAAGGTGACTCGCGTCAGAAGTACAGATCAGCTTATGCCAGCAGTAAGTAGTTGGGAAGTTTTTTGGTAAAATTCAAATCAAAAATCAAAGACATCAGAAGCGAGACGAAAATCAGAAAAATCAGAGAAATCGATTTAAAAAGATTGACTACAAGCAAATATTTAAACAATTCTCTGAACTCTTTACTTAAACGTTATATTCAGTTTTTTTTTTTCCAATTATTTAAAACGTATTCACATATTTTGTTTGGTTGTTTTTAAATTTTTTCAACTCTAGTTTTGTAAATGCTAATGCGTTTCGGTTTTTCTTTTTGTCGTTTTTTTTTTTTTTTTTTTTAGAAAAAGAATAAAAGAAAACTTGATAGTGCGATCGATCGATGATGATGCAATGAACGATCGCTTATCAAGATATGCACAAATTTCCTTCTCGCTGATTGCCGAAATGCAAAGCTCCCGACATCCTATGCAGTAATGTTTTTATGTTAATAATTTTAGTTTAGTTTGTTTTTAAAGTAAACTATTTCGTTTCTGCTTGCTGTGACCCGTTTATTTGTTCATATTTACAATATTAAATTTCTTTGTAGATTTATAAAAGCAGTATCATTTCCTTCTCCCCACACTTTTTCAATGTAAGATAATAAGTCTACATCATAAATTTTGTTTATAGACAATTAAGAGCAAACAGGCACAAATCGTATTAATGTTGAATTTACTTCGTATACTCGTTACTCGTTATCAATAAAAAACGACTAAACAGCACTAAAATGCGGATGAGAGTACGCTTTTATTTAAACCGAATCTTTTGATTTCTGCCTTACATTTTATTGCTTTTGATAAATTCTAAAGGGAGTATAGAACTAAAAAAAAAACTTCCTGACTTTTTTTTCACCACAAAATAAAATATCCTTTTTCCTTATATTTAATTCGATTGACAATCTTCCGACGTTTTTCTAGTAAAACCTTTATGCAGTCATTGCTGAGCTTCTTCGAATTCCCGGCGAAACACTGAGTCAAATAATCTCGTCAAACCACTTCGAAGACATCTTTCCTCCATTAGGGGAAATTCACAGATAGCCAAACCAAATGAAAATAAAATGTGGTGGACGCTAGGTCTGTCGTACACGATGGATACATTGGAACATTGCGGCCAAGCTTTCACAATTTTTGCAAAGTGATAGAAGAGACAGATGAGTCAATCAGATGACCAGGCTGAGGAGCAGCTTATGTTGCACAACGCATCAAACTTAGAATTTCAGCTTATGTGGATAGTTCGGGCTTTGCCGTAGTTTGTACAGATTCGGCATGACCCATTTAATCTTTGCCTATCAATCATTTGATAAATGGCTTATATTTTGTGACGTTTCAACAACGCCCATCGAAATTCTATCGTCTGGTATTCAAATATTGCAATAATTTTTCTATCCAGCTTCGCGCAAATAGTTCAAGTTGTTTTTCGATCAATATTTAGTTCCACTGCAATATGAAAACATGCAATGTACTAGTTTTGGATGTTTTCTGCGACACTGGCGCAATTAATCCTCGATTGAAGTGTAAACGGCAATATGATGTGTAGCTAATATTGCGAGTTTGAAGCATAAACAACGGTTTCCGTGTTGCTGCCTCGCTTGAAGCGAGATTGTAAAATGTTGCGGCTTTTTGCAGAGCTTTGGCTTATTTCCAAAATTTAATTACTTTGTCTGTTTGTCCTGTTAATTATCTACTGATGGTCACTTGGAACATGCACTATAGCACTTATGCTTCTAGTGCGCTATAACATAGAATTCGGATAGAGAATGCGATAAAAATAATGAAGGATTTAGTGGAAGGTTCATAGCGCTTTTAACTTCACTTCACTTCACTTTCGTAAACTATATGTTTTCCTTAAATTCAAGACAAAAATAAGTAAAAGTAGTGAAAAGAAAATTCTTAACAGACAAGGAATGAAATTCATCAAATAAATTACTAATAAAATATATATATATTTTTTTTTTTTTCATCTAATCATAGTTTCTCATAAGATTAACGGAGTATTGTTTTTGTTGTAATTTTCTCTCTTCCATAAATTTTCGCTTTCTTTCGCAATTCTGCTTTATACCCATCACCAAAATGTGAGGGGTATATGCATTTTGTCGAAGGTTTTGCAACGCCCACAAAGAAGTTTCAGGGAGTATGTATATTTTCTTGATAAACATCCACTTTGGATCAATCCAAACATGTCCGTCTGCCAGCCAGTATAATGTTTGTTACAAACATACAAAATGAAACCCTGGGGGTCAAATTTGGTAGAAACATCACAAGTTCTTGCACGCAGGTTGATATTGAAAATGCGCCAAGCCGGTCGAAGCACACACCCACAGTGGCAATGGCAACAACTCTGTTTTTCAAAAAGAAAAAAAAAAAACTGTTTTCTTCTTCATAAACCATAGTAAATAAATTTACAAAAATTTGAAAGTGTATTCTGCTGGTGATCCTGTCGTACCTATATGAGAATGGGAAAAAATGACTACGCCTGCCTAACAGCGTATCAAAATTTAGTCTTTTTTCAATGCCTTTACAACGGGTGGAAGCGTCAAAAACTCCATAACGTATATCAGTTTTTGGCCAGTTGCAGATTCGGAATATACCTAAGCTTGTCCGTTTGCTTGTCTGTTCATTCGTCCGTCTCTCCATCCACATAGAATCTGTAGTAAGCATTCTCGCGTTCGCAAAAATGGAGGTATTGCCTAGAAATTTGCAAAAGAGTTTGAAACTGGCCCAAAGTTGTCAAAGAACACGCTTTCAACGTCCACACCTCTATGCAGCCAAAGACGAGACCATCTTTGTTTTCCTTGTATTTTACTCTCCAAGAATAAACTATGCAAATTTACATGCTTGCTTTTTTTCAACCTGACGGTGATGGGTATAAAGGATTCGGTCACATCCGAATATAATTTTCTCACTTGCTTGCTTAGTAATAACACATCTTTTTTAGCTATTGGCAGTTGATTTCCGTATAAGTTACACACAAGTGCACATTGAATACACACGTAGACGCTTCATTAAAAAATTTTAGGATCTTTTTGCTACTATGGCTATTATTAATTCATTATTTGTTCTAAGTTTCATTAATTAATTTTTAATTATTAATTAAGCTTCGATTCACTTGGCTGATTAAGAGTTTTAACCAAAAAAAAAGAAGAAATTTAATATTATAGTTAAAATTTTGAAGTGTTTTATGGCGATTTAACGGGCAGAGGGACAGGTCTGTTTATATATGACGATGCAAAGCTTTTACATTTTATAGGGTCTTCGAAATTTATTGTTATTTTTATATTAAAAAAAATATGAGTACTATCGACATAGGCTATAAGCCCTTTGAAATATAATTTTTGGAAGTTTGGAAAACTTTTCGCTGGATTTAATATATATATATGTATATATATACATAATAACGGATCATATAATTTGCTACGCAATATTAGTTTTTTCACTAATCAAGTTTCCTGGTGAAACCTGAAAAATTTTAAATGTTTTTTCTGTTTTTTTTTTTGGCTCCCTAAGGATATTAACAGAAATTGCAATGATATCCTTTTAGATTTTGGCTTTTGTTTGCAATTTAATGAAAACTCTGTCGTTCATTACAAAATTTGAGAGAGAGACTACAATGAATATATTTGACGTGTATGTTAATGTTATTCGAAAGCAATAAATGGAAGTGTGAATATCCTCCGACGGGCATAGCACTGAATGAACTCAGAGTAGAGTACAATACAGATAAATTTCTATTGTTGATCGATAATAATGCCTTATGGATGATTGTTCTTGATTAGCAATTGAGGTCTGCATTTTACGTACATGTTAAAACCAATTAAATCCAATTGCCCAAGATATCGTTGAACGCAACATACGGCAACGACAATGCAAACAGTTTCTTAAAACTCAATCAATTTTTAATTAACATATAATTCTGGCACATATCTCTGCGTAAAATGTACAATAGTTTGTGTAACAAACTATGAAAGTTTATCGATTTTCTTTTCTTCAGTTTTCGTGTTGGCAGGCTGGTTATTTTAAAACCGGTAAGGTTAAGTAGAATTTCGTTATTACGTTTACTACTATTATTTTTATACCTACTACCCTATCATGCTTTGATCAGCGTGACTAAATCAACAGTCATGTCTGTCCGTCTGTGCGTCTGGTGTGTGGTGTTTGTTATTAACACTATTCTATTAATTCGGTACAAACATTGGAAGTTTCTGCACGCAGATCGGTATTAAAAATGGGCTAAATTGGTCGAAACAAAAGCCGGCAATTGAATCTAAACTGAACGCTACTCCATTTTGCTGAACAAAAATTTGTGATTTTTGCTCGTTACTTAGAAATTAGGAAAGTTAGAAGACTGAAATTTTTCACATTTAGTTTAAGAGGCACTCTACTCTTGTCGTCAAAAAGTGGAAATAATCGGCCCTGCTCACACCAATTTACAAGTGATTAAATTGTTTTTTTTCACTTTTTTGAGATTTTATCATTTATCATGACCCAAACTAGATCAAACGTTGAAAGCTATTTGGTATAGTGCTCAAATGAAGATGTATTATCTGCCTAAAAGTAAGTTAATTCTAAAATAAATCCGGCAGACAACTCGATTACTTCTTTTTTAATAATATAAGCGATATGGGTATCAAATAAAAGAACTCGTAGAGTAGGACGCGGGAAACCTAACGGTTCTTTCTTTCTTGTTCAACCTAGCTCTTGCAAGTTGAAATAAGTCCACCATTTATTATACCAATCCATTCCCACTTATTTTCTCAATGCAATTAAGTGCTTCCGTCCATCTGTCCAAATTTCAGGTCGATTTTTCGAGATATTCGTATGAAACTTGATGCAGTGACATATATTAGGCTAAGGAGCAATATTGCGATGGCATATCGTTGTGATATGAAAAGATCTAGTGTTTTGTTATATTAAATTCATGTTTAAAACTTGGACGGAGCCGATTACTCACAAAAATCCCTTAAGTTCAAAAATACAAGTAAATTTTCATATGGCATCAAATTTTTACTA